CCCCAAAACCCCAAAACCCCTTAACTCTGATTATAAAAACTACTAGCGAATTAATTAATAAATATAAATTAAGGTATTATATAAAAGAATGGGAAAGAAAATGAAGCAAAAAATTTCTATCAAGCATGATGACTCTGATGATGACAGCGCTGGGGGAGGTAATAATGATGGATTTGCAGTTATGGAAAATGAATTCTATCCAGATGAGGAAGACTAGGGTCCAAAACTTTCTCCAGAGGAAGAGAAAAAGGCTGCAGATGAGAGAAAAAAGTAAAAGAAGTTGGAGTAATTAGACAAAAAGATCAAGAAATTGAGTAAAAAGCATGAAAAGGAAAAGACTAGTTTGAGGGTAGCTTCAGAAATAAAGAATAAAAGGAAGAGATAGGAAGTTGTGATACTACAGAAGATGGCATAGAAGTAGACTAAACTTATTGAAAAGCTTAAGAAAAAGAAGGTAAGAGGAGAAGAAGGAGAGGAGGCTATGCCTAAGGGTGTTACTAAGACTATTGAAAGCATGAGAGTTGCTGATGAAACACTTATAGCTGAGGGAGATGATGAAGAGATTAAAGGTGACCAAGAGATCGATGAGTTCAGCAAATACTTCAAGAATGAGACCACACCCAAGATTCTAATGACAACTAATAGACGCCCCAAAGGAGTAAAAATATTTTCATATTTAGCATTCAATTCTTACATTAATTGTTTATAGGGAATATTTGATTTTCTGAAAGAAGTGAAGGACGCAATACCTAATACAGAGTATTATGAGAGGAAGAACTTTAGAATCAAATAGGTTATTGAATGGGCTATTAAAAGAGATTATACAGACATTCTTGTATTCTATGAAAAGCACGGTTTACCTCGTAAAATATCACGAATATTAAGCATTATTAATTGTAGATACTCTGATTCAGAGTCATTTGCCCGATGGACCGACTGCAACATTTAGAGTATCTGGAGTCAAGCTGAGAAAAGAGATTTATCATCACGCTGTCCCTTCTTCATACAATCCAGAACTTATTCTCAATAATTTTGATACTATGCTGGGCCATAGAATTGGAAGAATGCTGGCATCAATGTATCCTCAGTCGCCTAATTTCCACGGCAGAAGAGTGGTTACCTTTCACAATTAAAGAGATTTCATTTTCTTCAGGTAGCATAGATATGAGTTTACAGAGGATCACTAGCGAGCAAATTTATAAGAGATAGGTCCAAGATTTACTCTAAAGCTGCATGCCCTACAACTGGGAACATTAGATACCAAGTTTGGAGAATTTGAATACATTTTCAAACCTAAAATGGGAGTAAATAGAAAGTAGTTCTATATGTGAGTTTCATCAGAGATATATCCCAGGAAGTAAGCTTAATTATTTCTGGACTTAATTAATTAAGATTTATTATTTTTACAATAAATTCAACTTATACTTAGAGCTAAGGGGTTTTGGGGTTTTGGGG